CCCCCCCCCCCCTTTTTTTCGGGAATTGGGAATTCTCTCTTCGGGAATTGGGAGAGATGGTATTTTTCAAACCTTTCTGAACACTGATGAAAATTATATAAAGTAAATCGATGGACGCATTATTCTGGAATGAAGTATAGAATTGGAATAAATTTTTCCAGGGTCACGATCGGCTACAGGGCTATCGAAGATCGATTCACATCCCGAGGATGACGTACTCTTTGTGTCGAGTAAAGACAGCGAAATTTCGAGCCTGTGGGTCAATTATCTCACGGCGTGCTTCGAGCAGATCAGCAGGCAGCAGGGCCGGCCGCCTTTCAAGTAAGTTTAACTCCAATTCACCGAGTATAATAGAGATCTTGGAATACGAATTTCTGAATTTGAATATTTAAATTTGAATTTCAATATTTAAATTGAAATCTTTTAATTTTCAGATTCACATTTATATCAGCTTCCTGTAATATTACATCTACGCTTCTAAGATCTTTGCTTGCTCCCCATTAGAGATGTGTATGCAGGGACGAGATGAATGAGAGTATTTGGGATGAATGTCGGTGCGAATGACGAATAAATCTAAACAATCATTATCGCTGCGAATGATGAGCGAATCGAACGGATGTTTAGATTAGATGATGCGAGAAAAACGAACGAGTTCTCGGAATTTGCGTGAGATTTCTGGGATGCGTCGTGCGAGTGTGTAGTGCTTGTGCGAGCAAATATTCAATTGTTATTTAATTGTTGTAAATATATTTTAGAATCCAACACCTCTTTCTCTTTTCCCAATCCATATCCCCTACATGTACTCCATTAACAACTATACCAAAACCAAACGATGTTTCTATGATAACTCCTAGCCTCCAGATCTCAGAGTGAAATAGAACATCGTAATTAATTCCAATTCCTTCTCTTTCAAAAGCCATCATCGATAACTATCGCAATATCGATATATCGTCGCAATATAACAAAATGTAATGCTTCGCTCGAATTTCACACAAAGGTTTCACGAATTAAGATCTAAAAGCTACCCGTACCAACGTAAGAGTTAATATACTTTTAGACCCTCTTCGAGAGTTCCTTTCGCCAACACAGATTACAGTGTAATTTCGAATTACAGAGTTCGTCACGTGACAGTAGAGGAACCGATACAACCCGGGACCGAGGAGAGGATTCGATCGGCTCGCTTGCAAATCGTGGTCGTGTGTCCCGTGCTATTGGAACGGGTTCAGAGTCGGCCAGAACACGCGACGAATCTCTCCAGACAGTTAATCACCGACAAGGTGCTCGCGATGATGTTGGGCGTGCACGACAGCCACATCAGTGACGTCCACAAGTCGATCTTGGTCTCGTATAATCAGTGGAGGAAATTCTTCGTGAAGGACCAGGATGAAACTTTCGTCGGTGAACTGTTGGGTGCCGCGGTTGGAATCCTTGGCACCACGCCGCCTCCTGCCCTGAGAAGCGACAAAACCGCGTTTTCGGTTCATCCGAAGAAAGTGAAGCTGGTTAGTCGATCGAGGGAAAATAAGTTGGAATGAAGTTAATCGAGCATTTGCGTCTTGCAGGGTCATAACAGAATAATCGTATTGCTGAACGATCCCTTGCGACCTGAGGACAATGTGTCAGTGATTGTGGATCGCTGCGGCGAAGCGATCGACATCGCCCATGTTAAACGAAGGAACCCCTATGCCCTGCAATTCTCGATCCCGGAAAGATGTCTGGAAGTATCCATGTTGGTCGGCGTTCGTATATCGAAAAATGGTTGTCCACTTGGAGTGAGGCAAGTAAAATGCGAGAGCAGGCTCAGGGAACTCGATCAGATCCTCAGGGCCCATGACAACCCCCTAGAATTTATGTGTCAGGTAAAAATTGGATAAACTGGCGAATTTTTATAAATACTTTCATCGATTCGGAATCGATACAATTTGGAAATTGGTTTTAGACCTTTGGCTTCAATCCGGGTGATCGCGAGCAGTTAGATAACTGGATGGTCCACGCGTTTCAACGAAACGTTCCACCGCACTTCAACCTCCTGTCCACGCCCAGTGGCGTAGTGTCCACTCAGAAAGTTCACTCAAGTGAGTATCAGTTGACCCAAGCTCATCTGTTGACAGAGAAAAACTTGTGTTTTAAATCGGACTTTTATCGTTGAACATTATTTGTTACGCTTACTGGATCGACAGGGCGGCTAGTTGGTAAGAAGTTGGAAGAATTTAACAAATACCCTGTATCAAATAAATAGAAGTATGAGTGCCTGGATTTTTTAATTTGAGTGTCTGAGTATTTGAATTTAGACGTTGAAGATATACCTTGTATAAAATGATTAAAATATCAATTTTTAAATATAATACTTATCTTAATTGCCAAAAATCGAATTGTATCGAATAAACCATATTTCTGAAACGATTCTGGAATAAATTAAACTCTAATCGTTGTAGGTCCCGAAGAGAATCCGACGTTGCTCCACTTTGCCGCCCGTTTTGGTTTGGAAAGACTAGCCTGGCAACTGTTGGAATGTCCAGGTGGCGACATAGCATGTGACCTGAGGAACGTGTCAGAACTCACCCCTGCCGATCTTGCAGAACAGGCGGGACACGCGAGATTAGCTCATCAGCTTCGTGGCTACATGGTACAAAAACATCACCTTTAAAGCGACGTCAGAATTAGTTGGAACCGGTACTTCCGCGATATTTCTCTATTCCTAACTATCATTTGGACGATCCAAATTCTATTTATTCCTTCTTCAATTGAAAATCTGCAACTAAAAACGTGTTCAATTAAATTTCATTAGTACTGGAACAAAATTAATTTATTATTCCTGAGTAAATTCTAGTTGATCTTTCGATTAGTCATCAATGGATTTCGGTAAATTAACTGTTATCTTGTTTTTGAATTGCATGTTTCGGGCTTCCCCTTGAATCCTCATGCGCGGCGCCGCAGCAAATGAACGAGTTCACTAACATGTACAGCTACCTAAAAGTAATCAGCGAGACCACTACAGACCAAGCGGCCAGTGAGTGTTCCTTTCTTGCTAAAATATTTATGAACGTTGAAGTACAAATATTTCAATTGAAATTAGAATTTTTAAGGTATCAAGTTGAAACTAATACCAACATGACCCGTTTTTCAGGTGCGGATCCATCAACGACTAACACAACAAATGACACCAATAACGACAAAGAAGATTATTGTCGTCCACGACCTCTAAGCGAAGCATACTCGGTGCCACCAGCCGCAAGACCAATAACGTCTCTGATCTTGCCAGGTCAATTATCAGTAACCCCTAGCCCGACCACCAATAACCCCATTGAGGCAAATTACTCGATCGTACCAGCACCGACTCCCGTCGTCGTTGGTTCATCAACACCAACGCCTGCTACGAATATTTCGAACGGCCTTGAGCTCCCTCTTCAAGGTTATATGAAAATGCATCCAGCTGGTAGGTCGTTGATCTTCTTGCAGTCATTATGAAGATATAGAAGCTACACAGACAAAAGATACTATATAGTCTTTGAAATTAAATATTTGGAAATTTACAAATTAAAACTTGAACTTTGAATTACCCAACTTCCAAGCAAAAATCTTTACAAATTTAATTATTCAAGGGCCGAAAACACCGACGTCAAGTGTAGCAAGCCAACAACCGTCCCGCACAGCGACGCCCACACAGAATCGTCCGGATTCCCATCCCATACATAGCCGAGAAGAGAACAGTCAATCTTCCTGCTCTTATGGCAGAGCGCCTTCCAATTCCAGCAGCACAAAATCAAGGGAACCATCTGGACCCCAGGACGAACTACTGGAAATCATAAACGACTTCAAGAATAATGTGTTCACAATAACAGAAGTGGAGAGGCTGGTCGAGAACTGGAGAAATCGTAATGATGTCCAACAAAGTTTCAAAGATAAACAGAGGCAACTCACTGCGATGAGGGAAGAGTACGAAAGGATACAAAAGAAGTTGAAGGAAGAAATGAAGGCCCCTACTCCTTTTGATAGGATTAGAAAATTCTTCTCTAAAGGAAAGAAAGGTTTGTTAAAAGAGACAGCAAAATTTATGAATAAGTCTTTCTTCTTTTTCTTTTTAATTTTAATTTATTCTAACCTCGTGTTTTCTTCTTTCAGAATCGAAAGACTCTGCGAACGGCAGTGATGATTCCTCTTCGACCAGCAAAGTAGAGAATGTTAATGGTGCACTAGCCGATCGTAGACCAGTTAGTAGCTTGAGTCTTCGCAGTGTTTCAAGTACGTGTTTTAATAATAATTGTTTGAAAATCACGTTACTAGACTTGTTTCTCCTGGACAAAAATTAAAGTTGATTTTTATTCTAATAGGCTCATCTTCGTCTGGTAGAATGAGCACTGCTAGCGGATGCAGCGGAACTAGTTTAGGTGACAGTGGAACTCATTCTGACACTGAGGATCGACGAGTTAGTATTGAAAAAGGCTGCGATTGATCTCAGTAAAAAAATATCTTGAATATCTCTCGAGAAATACTTATCCCATCTTAAGTAAAATTCAATTTCCATGGTAATGTCGAAACAGAATATCAATATAAAGAATTGTTTCAGTTACAAAATGCACGAGAGGACAAACCGGGCGTGATGTCATACGAAATACCACCAGCTCCGAAACCATTTACTGGAAGATACTCACCGGCACTTAGGTATTCCCCATCTCCTCGTTCCTCGACTGGAAACGATCTTGACCTGAGACCTTCGCAGCCACCATCAAAGACTGAGGACACTGAATATTACATTGCCTTTCCTCCTTCGGGATTACCCATCCACTGTGAGTAACCGTAATCTAAAATTGAAAAAATGAAGCAAACAAAGTACGTTCATTTTCGATATTTTTAAATCAATACTCGAGTAAAATATTTCTAATAATAATATCCAATAATCATCAACAGCTTTCAAGACAGATGCCACTCTAAAGGAACCAAAAACACCAAGTTCCCCCTGTGATCACCCGAAGTACCTGGACATGATCCAAAATTCGTCCCCAATGACTACTGAAGCCATAGAATCAGACTCTCCCAAGCAACCAGGCAACAGTTACGCAAACATCGACCCGTCCCCGGTGAACTCGGCACCAGTGCCACCGGCTGGCATGTGCATTCCAACAAATTACGTGAACGTGACACCCGCCTGCATCAGTTCGTTTCAGGAAGTTGTTCAAGGTCACCAGGCCGAGCAGAGGCATTCTCTTGACTCAGACCACGTGGCTGAATCCTCAAAGAATCAATCTAAGGTCGAAACTTCCAATCAAACAGGGGAAAACAAGGTCATTGATGAGGTACAAGGTCAAGATCATGCCGTGAATGAAATCCAAAGTAAAAATAGCGAGGAATACGTGGAAACAGACCTGGTGAATGGTTCGGAGAGTGTAGATGTACCGGATATTGGTAAAATGCCGGAATATATGAACGTTGATGTTCCTCAGGATCACAAAGTAGATGCCAACAAAAAGGTGCCTGCTCCACCTGTTCCACCAAGAGGTAAGATTATTTTTTCCTTTAATTCAAAAAACGACCTATGATGGTATTGAATTGAATAAGTCACAATATTTATTATTCTTTTATATTTTCTTTCTTCCTCAAATATTGACTCTTAAATATTCGACAATAATTGGAAAGATTATTCCATCTAGTTATGCCATTGCAATATGAATTTGTTAATATTTAAATTCTGTATTTCCATTATTAAATATTTTATAGGTTAACGAATATCTCCAGGAATGTAGTCTAATTTAGACCAAATATTTTTTATCTGCAATTCCTTTAAATTTACTATACATCATTATCTTTAGAAGTATAATCACAATTTCTATGAAATGAATGACCATTATATCTCACAGGTATAAACTATTTTAGGATTCATGAGCTATCCGTGACTAAATATATCCATATTACATATTTCCTGCTATTTTCTCGATTCTTTTTCATCTTTCTTTCTTTCTAAATTATCAAATACATCTGAATTGTTGAGTCAAAGTTTACTTCCACGTTCTTCATGTATCTAGAAAATGTCCAGAAATATTTCTTTAAGGAGATTAAATTATATCCAATGACTCAAGACATACATTGAAATCTGTTCCACGAATTCTTTGCCAGTTTGATCACTGATCATTCCCTTTTGTATCACTTACTGGTGGTAATCACGAACGTTGATTACTTAAGCGGACTTTCATCACCGTTGACGAGTTCGAATGCCATGTACGACTCATTTCTCTTCAATAGCGGATGTGTCAAACCTTTTTTTCGATTTTCTGTTGTAGTCGCTACTAAAAAGTAAAAGGAGAACGGAAGTGTCGTTTTATTTCCCGGAAATATTAATGGATGGATCAATCAAAGATGGTGCCCTCGACAATCGTTTTTCATTGGAAAAGTATTCGAGCATGATTTCAAGCACTCAGTGTCAGTCTTCTACATAATCATTAGTATTAGTAGCATATTTAAATGTAAATTGTTCGTTTCAAGAAAGTCCTTAAGCGAACAAGTCCGTAAAATGTATTCGAAATACGTCTCATGCCTTTTGTGTATACTTCGTGTTTTTTTCTTTTTCTTTTTTTATTTTAATATTCTATGAAGAGCGACTTAATTTGTAGTCAATTTTTCATGCTATTACGTTACAATTAAGTACTTTTATTGTTCATTATTACCCTAAAATTGCCTCGAATGCATTGCGAGAATAAAATCAATGCATTAATTAGTTTTTAATTCGTTAACGTTATGGATAGTCGAAACATTATTGTTCGTGGTAACGAAGATATCTTTAAAAGCATTAAAAGATTTTAAGTATATTATAGAATATCGTCTCAACTTTTCCTTAAATTTAATTAGATTAGAAAAAATTTTGGAAACCTCAAATCTTCGAAGATTTTAAGTTTATGGAACTTGAAACATTCGAAGGACAATTACATTTTTCTTAGTGAATTTATAAAGCTATTAATTATTAAATATTTGAGGCTTTCTAATTACACCACTAAGTTGTATATTAATTAATTAACCAATGCTCGGATCTCGGTCCAAGAACGAATACAATGCTAGCGAGCACCAAATCAAATTTTCATTGTTTGGCGGGAAGCCAAAATCATAAGCTGTACATACTGTTCTCTATCCTATGCTTTATTATTGTAGTCCATTATCTATGTAGCCCTTGTTTAAAGTTAAGCTAGGTCAATTTATACGATAATTGTTAAAAAAAATTTTTAACGTTGCCAAAAGACTGCGTAACGAAATATAGCATCGTGTGATCATTTTGTCATCAATCATACAATTCATACGTCATACAATGTAATCATATTTTAGCGTAAACGATACTCTGTACAGGCGTCGAATTTTCTTTTCTTTTCTTCTTTACAAGAGCAACGACGAAATGTGTTTCAAGTACCAAGGATGCATTTATCGTTTTAATTGTAATATGTAGTCTAGGGTAATAACTTTTTTTTTACCGGATCTGCCAGATCCTTTTTATATTTATGTTTACATCAATAAAACCGAAGATAACAGAAACTGTAAAATTTATTTAAATTCGATATCCATATTACTATGTGGTGAGATGAGAATTTTCTCTCACACAACTATAACACATATACAAGTAATACACATATTTACAAGTAAATTCGCGTATCAGAATATAGTTGAGTAAAACAATAAAAATTGCTTTTATTTCAAATCATAGATGAATATTCAAAAGATAAATACTTACAATAAGAGACATAAAATTAAAAAATGAATAAAGAAAAAATACCTCAACACACCAACAATAGTATTCTCTAAAAGGCTTTTTGGTATATCTAGCCCTACAATCGACAAACGAAAGCAGCACCATATCTAGAAAATATCAGAAATTAGTATCTCAATTAGATATTCTTTTATTTTATATGTGTATGTTTGTGTGGATTTATTCTAGATAAACAAATAGACCCGCATTCCCTTATATTATCCAAATTCTCATTTTTTAAGAGTAAATTCTTTAATAGTAATCAATAAATCACGAATGACTGAAATAATAATTTATAAGAGTTATAACAAAAATATGGAATACTAATTGTACCGATCATGATACATACTTTGAAAGATAGTTATAATTTTTACAGAAAAATCTGTTGTAAGAATATCATAGACTATCTATGCTTCTAAGAAAACCAGTTATCCTCGAAAATCATACTTGTAAAATAAATTATACAACTTGCTGCGTACATTCACATGAATTTAATGAATAACGAGAGGAAAAAATCTGAAAGTAAACATTCTTGATAATTTAATCAATAAATCCATCTTTTTTCTCGAAAGTATTTTTGATGTCATCCTCTAAGAATAATAAATTTAATAATAAAATATCATTTAAAGAATTAATGTGAATAAACATTTACAAACGTTTAACAATTATTTTTCGAAATTCACAAGGACAACACCTTGTTCTGAAGTTTGATACGGCAAACAATATATCGTTAAAGAATAAGTGATGTCAGCAACGTGTACATAGAGGCATGAATTTCTGAATAAACTATGTAATTGAATATTCATCGTCAGTATTGAGCGACCAGTCGTAGTATCAACATCTCGACCAGGAGAAGCACTTTTGGCATTTTCAAAAAGTGTAGGATCTGTGATAAATAGACACCTCCTTTCTTTCACAAAGGACATTTATTTTACAACACAAAGGTAATTCTATTCTTCCATTAAAAAGTTAAATGAGTACAAGAAAACACCTGGAATTCAAAATATTTAACATAAATATAATCTCAAATTCTTAAATTTGTTTAAAGAAATATTTAAAAAATATTTCAAATTTGTGTATAAGTAAAATATTACCATTCAATTGTTTTTTGATAAATCTGTTGAATTAATCGGTACTTATCGGTGGACTAAAAATAAATGGTCATTTAAATATCTCATTAAAACACTTTTAAACCTAATTAAAATACTGCAATTAAAAAAAAAAAGCATTGTTTGTCGTATAAATACGATAAACGATAGGAAGTAAAGACATAGCTATAAATACATATCACAAAAAACACTGTTTCCCAAATAAAAGGCCAGGAAATAATGTAGACTACAGTCACCCACCCATTTCTTTACCTCTGGTGCTCATAGAAACCACTATCTTTCTTCCGCTCAATTTAGATTTCTCGTTAATTGGTTCGCCCAGTTAATTACCGTTGCGGTTCAACATTTGAGATGGGACCAACGATCCCCGATTTCCGCAGTTACCACGTGCTCCGTGTGTTTATTGAGTGGGGATGAGTCTTATATAGGACAGAAATTGCTCTCCCTTCGACAAAAGAGAAAAAGTCACGTTCACGTTCATTATTTGAAATCGGTCCGTCAAACGTAAAACAGTTTTATAATAGATATTACTTTGATCCTAGAAAAAATAACAGAGTAGTTAATATATTTATGAGATTCTTTAAAAAATGTATAAATTCAATGTTATATAAAGTAACAACTATTATTATTGATCAAATTTTATTAAAAAATAATACATGTGCTAAAGGAAAATATAAATGTACTTATAAAAGTGTGATCCCTGGCTGTGAAAATATTTTAAACAAAATAAATTTCGTTGAAGTGCAGTTTTTTATTAAAATTTATCTTTTTGAAATAATTAAAACTTACTTTATCAAAACAATTAAACTTTCTTACAAATATTATCCTTTGCTTTTAGTAATTCAATACGGGTAAATTGCAAGATGAAGTTGCTTTCAGTGGTCTTTTTGTTGACATTATCATTGGTTACCACATTTGGTCAATCCAGGTTTCTAACTTCTTTAATTAATTTAATATTTTGAATAAATCTTCTTAAACAATTGAAATAATAATATCTTCAGGTATAAACCTTTTGCTGAGAAACCAGGTTCTTGTCCACCGCCTTTACCCGTGCAAATCTGTAGCCAATCCTGTTTCTCTGATTCACATTGCTTAGGAATTGGCAAATGTTGTCCTACTAATTGTGGGGGCTTTGTTTGTACAAAACCAGTGACTATGAGACAAATAGTGTCTAGAGGTATAATAACAGCTGCAAAATAATCAGTATTAAAATCCTATATTTACTAATTGGTAGAGATAATATAAGTTTATTCTAATTCCTTTAAGAATTTAAAAGTTTTTGAAAACTTAAGTCAGTTTTCACTTTAGTTCTAGTTTTAGTTCAAATTTTTTAACCTGTATATTTAGAAAAACCAGGTTCCTGTCCAGCTATACCAAAAGGAAGATGGGTATGTTCACCAACCTGCAGTGTTGACAGTGATTGTAGAGGAACAATGAAATGCTGTAAGAATCGTTGTGGAGCCCTAGCCTGTCAGAAGCCAGACATTGAGATGGTTGAATCCATGGATATTCCAATTGTTCCACTGCCAGAAGACATACCTAATATTCCCAGGAATCCTTACAGTAATCCCAGAGATCCAAATAATTATCCATATTATTTTTATAAATAGAGTAATAATACATTATCATAAAATGTTAACATGAAAAAATGGTTTTTACTTATTTAGCTTTATACTGATTATCATAGTAACTAAATGTTCCCTTGTGCCATATCTTTCAATTATTATTAAATTTGTAATAATTGTAGTCTAAAAATCTTCATTTTAATTGTATATTGTTATGGTAATTAACATAGGATAAATTTTATTAGTACTTTTTGTCAACTTTAATCTTTTTAAATGTTTCTAAATATCTAGTTCTTAAAATTTATTAATATTTTCAAGCACTGAATTTTCTAAAAACAATAGTAAACTAAAAGTATATGACAATATTTGCAACCTACTTATACTATGTAGTAACCAACTTTTAGTCTTATGTCAATTTAAAAATTATTAAAATTGCAAAAAAGATTATTAAAGTTGTAAAAAAGCACAGATTTTACTTTATATTATTATAAATTAAAAATTTAGAATTTAAATTTACGCACGAATCTATAATTTAAGTACTACAGTGAATTTACAAATTTTTTAAATTACTATTTCTTAAAACAATTTCATGACAATACGTAACAGGTTACGTCATTAACCTACTGATTCAAATTTACATAGATCCTTGAAAAATACACTTACGAAATTTAAATAGAGAAAACCACTGACAAAGGCAAACAAAATGGAGAATAGTTTTTATTTTCATTAAATTATTTTTGGAAGTAATCGTTAATATTTTATTATTAAAAGTTAAATATAAAACTATTTTATTATTAAAAGAAAAATTAAGGAAGTTGAAAGAAAAATAATAAACTTTTAAATTCTACAAAAAAGAAATTAAGGGGAAACGTTATTCTCTTATGGCACTCGAAGAAAACTCAAAATCCTAATAAATTTATAAAAATTTATCATATATTTAGGCTAGAAAAATTTTTTAATTTTTTAACTATAGATTTTTTTATTAGAATTTTCTAACTATATTATTAAATAACTAAAAAAGATGAATAAGAAAACTTGTTACGTTCTATACAATTTACGATACGTGAAATGTAAACACAATTATTACTTCCATTTATTGTTCTTTAATTTCTTACTTATAAACTATACCATCCTATTTTTATGCCATTTATTACTTAATCTCATTTAATAAGGACAATTTGCATCAATCAGAGAAAAGAATACGATCCTGAGATCTGTATGAGTCACTGAAATTCACGTACTGAATCAAAATACCCAAGTGTATTATTCACCGAACACTTGACTCACAACACAAAAACATACCGATAATAGTCATAAAGATGTTCATAAACTGATATTATGTCGGGGAATATTAAGAAACTGTTGAATCAGTCGGTCACTTTGCTTCCTGTACGTTCTATGACATATACCTTTCGCCGACCGCAAGATAAAGATGGAAGTAATAGAGATAACAATATAAAGATTGGTCAGGGGATAAAATAGGAAGGAAAATGACATACAAAGATTTAAGAAGCTGAGATCTTATCGTGCACCGGTTAAACGTGTTTCATCTCCGAACAGGACAAATCTAGTAATCCCAGAAGAATAATATCGTGAAAAAGGACTCCGAACAAAAAAACATGTATAGTACGTATTTTCATAAAAACTAGTTTCTTTCTACTCCGATATACAGAGTGTATCAAGTGAACAAAAAGTATAAGTTAAGAAAACAGGAGAAATACGATAAAATGTCCAGTTTCGGAAATCATATAAAACAAAAAAATAAATTTTTTACTGATAAATGATTTTAAATGAAAATAGAATTTACTTTTTGTTTACATTGTACATTTTAAGTATTTAGACTTTTATTTTTGGATTGCTAAATAATAAACTGTATCTTACCATAGAGAGGGGAACAGTCCTGGTATTGACAGTGTGCTTGTTAATTGCCGTGACAGTCGCTCAGCTGTCTCGTAAGTTAATTACTTTAAATGCATAACTGTTTCAAGAAAAACGCTTGACATTTCACTCGAAACTAATGGAGTTTCTACTCGCTATTAAATAAATTATTTTGAATTATTGCAATAATATTATAAATGTACCTTATTCGTTATTTTTTTTTCTTTTTAGGTAAAGAAGGATATTGTCCATTAAAAAACAGTGTTTCGAAATGCACTCCTAGATGCGTTTCAGATTATCAATGCTCTTTTAATGAGAAATGTTGCCCGAATAAATGTGGAAGTAAATCATGTGTTCAAGCGAGTCCTGTCAGTACCGGCAGTGGATATAAGGGATCATCAAACGGTAAAGAAGTTAGCATAATTATTTAAGATTTTTAATTTTTATGATATCTAATAAAGTTCATTTTGTAGACAATGTGTATTGTGCTGGAATAAAATGTGGCCCATATGAAAAGTGTCAATTTGATCGTAGAACAAAGCGTGAAAAATGTATTCGTACATAAACGATTTCCTTAAATGTAATAATATTATTTCTTTTATGAAATAAATGATCATTCTCATTTTAGTTATTTTATTTTGTATACGTTTTAATAAATCTAATTCCCATTCATTAGAAAAACTTAAAACTTGAATTACAAAAGTCGACCTGCGATCAGTAACGATAGCAACCTGTTGAAAATGAGTCGATAGTCGACATACAGATTTTAATCGATATTTCTCGATAACCTCTAGAAGTGTATGCTAAGTGAAAAGCGTATTCTTATAATCCGAATTTAGAAAACGATTACAAAGTGTCACGATAATAAAGTTATTTTATTTGGGAAATTTTGTAACAAAATGATACTTGACCAGTCTTGATTCTTTGCAATAAAACTATATACATTTTTGATCATCATAAGAGAGGTTGGACTTATGCCGATATTAAGATGGCAGTAGAATTTTTAGTAAATCGGTTGAAAACCCTTATCGTACTTCTGCTGGGAGTATTTAGACGGGCAATGTGCTGTCTTCGACGTCGAAGAAGATCATCCTGTGATTCCATTCCTCTATCTGCAGTTGGTGTAGTACCGAACACTTTAAATAACACGTCAACACAACCAGTGAGTTTCAAATATTATATTCATCTTTTTAGTTTAATATGTTACAATGATTTAAAAATTATGTAAATCTTGTTGTACCATTGACTCCGATAATAGTAATCACTGAAGATACTTGCTCAAGGAATTAGAGCACTGGGATCAATGGGAGGAAAATCCTGTCGTGGTCATATCAGATAAACCAGTTAATACAATACAAACAAAAATTGAAGAATACAGACAGCAAGCTTTCAAACCAGAATCGACTGAAGAACAGCAATTAAATTTTTTTGAGGTAATTATTTCTATTGTTATTATATTATTAATGTGTAATAGACAAAATATCTTATTTTTTATGTTTACTGTAGAATATGACACCAAAGATCACTATGCAGACAAAGATCTTAGTTAAAGATAAGGTTTCAGAAAATACATCTTGGAATTCATCAAAATTTGATCCCATGCCTTCTGTAAGTATATATTTTTTGTTTTTAATTTTATTTTTAATGAAAAGGAATAAATTTGTAAAATATTATTTATATAGAATGAATTGGGAGAATGGGAAGATGATGCTGTTGGTTGGGAGGAAGAAACAACAAAGGAGTTTGGAGATCTCACAAAAACATTGAGGGAACAAAAACAAAAAGAAAGAGAACAACGATTATTTGAGCAGCAACAGAAAAGGGTTGAACGCAATTCAAGACCACAGCCATTAGGAGCAAAATTAAGTTCTTGATGTGAAAGAATATAGTCCCCAAGATTTATATAAGAAATAATCATTTTTCATTTATTCGTGTTTGTGCACAAATCTGATTCTTTTACAGTGGCATGGAACATCAATTAAAATTGAAAAAGATAAAAAATTATCATTTGTTTTATAAATAATAATAATTATTATTATATATTCTTATAAAATTAACTAAATCATACATCATATATAAAAAAAACATATCTTATGAGATATTTTATTTCAAAAGCATGAAATTATATTTTGATTTGTTCATTAATGATCGATACATCTGATGATAATATCTGTTGCATTTAAATTATTATTTCAAATTGACTGAGAATTGTTTAATAATGTTTCATTAAATAAGCTTTCATTAAAAAAAAAAAAAAGAATGGTAACTGTTAGTTTCATTTAAATTGTTTTCTTGTTAAAATGTTTATAATGTTAGGGACATTCCATATAAATAATCAAGCAATGCCATTTAAAAACACTTTTTACCAACAAATCGGGCTATTTTTTAAAGTTTAACTATATCTATATTTAATAATTAATCACCACAAGTATTAATTCATCTGTATGGTTATTTTCTAAATCATACTGATACAAAACTAAAAATGTATCAATTGAATTTGTAGCAATACAAAATAAATATTGTGTAATTAAAAAATTTGTGGAAATCTTATATAGAAACAAACAAATATTTTGTGATGATAAATTGTAGGTATAATTAATAATATTTAAGTATCACTAAAATACTTATTATTCTTTTAAAATATTATTTGTGTGGAATCCTAATAGGAAATGGCTGTTATACATAGAGGATGGAAGAAACGATACATGAATATTTTTTTGATACATGTACATAACTCTTCGCACTCCGTGCGTCGATAACATGTATATAATCAAACAAATTTTCCCTTGTGTACAAGCAGATAAAACTGAACTAAAAAAGATAAAGACAGGCTAAAACCGCAAGATAGGATACAGCCGTTTCCACATTTATTGATCGTTTGAAGTTTGTACAAATTGAATTTTTCACACTTTGAACATACTGGACGGTAATTAAATATCTATCGAGATAAACTGGTAAGCATAAATGAATATTTACATCACAAGCTTATAAGTCATAATTTGTTAATTTAAAACACTTTAATGAAAAAAATGCATTATAAGTAACTTTATAACTATTTAAACGAAATATTTTATTCGAATGAAAAGGATAGTTTTATCAGTAAGTGGAGTTACGCAGAATAAAACGGATAAAAATATGTTGATAAATGTACAAATAACCAACCACAAAAATTCTTAAAAATTATCATGGAAACTAAATTTATATTTATGATAATATCAGTTAGAAACTAACGAACATAAACCCATTTTTAAATTACGTCAGGTATATTATACTTTTATTTGTCTACGTAGTCATACCAACGAAACAACACAAATTACATCGTGACGTAGCTTGAAATCTATGCTTTGTCAATTGCAACTAACTTCACATAGTCCGTGTCATACGTGTACGAAATCATGAGAGAACTTGTTTAACGGTAGCGTTTCGAAAAAGCAGAAATTACGGTGATCCATTTTCAGGATTATCGTGCAATTCTACGATTAACTTCATTTTCTTCAATATTATTTCTCAATGATCGCATTCATGATCGAGAAATACGCGCCGTTATTCGATGCTTCTTATCTTCATCCTTAACAGCATATGCAAATTCGAAATGTCAACATTAGAAGGTGAGCTGTCCAATTTATGTGAAACGATGGATAATGATGGTTGATTTTTGAAATTTATTTTATTCAAGCTTATGTTAAACAATGCCCATGAAGAGCGTTCGTGAAACATTCATAAGCATACCCTAGAAATATTTATAACTGATTCGTATATAGAACGAATAGAATCATCGATACGGGTAACCGTTAGCGTATAAACACAAAAAAAAAAATAACGTTGTGCTATTCTGATTATAATCTTTTTTACACTTTTTTGCTATTATCTTGATTGTTAATATATTTTTTTCTCGAAATTATAAGAAGAAAATATCGTTTTATATTTTTTTCATCAAAACACTGTCAATCATATGGTATGGTACGGTTGCTCCGGACAATACAGATAAAGCAAACTGTCTTTAACGCCGCAAAATCGTTGAATTACTCGATATCCGTATGCTATGATTTATTTTTATCCGTGATAACACAACCGTAAAAGAAATTTGTTATATACAAGAAAAAAATGCGGGACTAATAGATTGCGATCAATATATTTATAAGAGGTTATTAAATTTCTCTTTCAGACATAAGAATACGCTCTTATCTAAATACAATGTCCTATGTGATAAGAGCATTCTTGAGTTTCTTTCTATGAATCATTTGTGATAGCAATCAGTACTGGGATAATGTAAGAAGGATAAAGTGTGACAGGTAGTCGTCTATTTTTATTGTAAATTACAAGAGAACATTGCAAAAATGGGTTCTATAGCCTTGGAAGAATTTGAACTTATGAAAGACTCTAAATATAGAGTGTAAGTAATGTTTTCTACTTAAATGTTTATTTACATTCTATTCTACAATATAAATTTATATAATAAAAGAAGTAGCAACTTTTAATTATTTTAATTTTCATTTTAATTATTTAAAATTTTTATTTTTTGTGAATTAAGAAACATTGTTTTTTATATAGTTATGTGTCTGCTGTTGATAAAGCATTGAAGAGCTTTGAATATACTAGCGAATGGGCAGACTTAATTTCTGCACTTGGAAAATTAAACAAAGTTTTGTTAAGTCATATGAAATTTCCAGTTATTCCTAGGAGAATTAAGATATCTAAAAGATTAGCACAATGTATGCATCCAGCTTTGCCATCTGGTGTTCATTTAAAAGCTCTAGAAACCTATGACATTATTTTCAAGTGTATGGGCACTAATAGACTGAGTCATGAATTATTCATATATAGTGCTGGTAAGAACAATTAGTATTATAAAACAAAATAATTTTTATAGAAGAATCATGTAATTATATGTATTCATTTATTTAAATTTTTAATATAGGTTTATTTCCATTGTTGGGTCATGCTGCTATGAATGTAAGACCATCTTTGTTGACCGTATATGAAACTCATTTTGTACCTCTTGGAGAGAGATTAAGGCCTGGGTTGAGTGGATTCTTAAGTGGTGTTTTACTTGGTTTAGAAGATGGTTCTGACCACTTTGATAGGTATTAATAATAAAACTACAATTAAAATAAAACCGAAATATTAATAAATATTATATATCTGTTTTTTAGAACAAATTCCTTACTTGAGAAAGTGTGTGAAGGAGTAGGTCCAGAACATTTCTATGCCTGTCTATGGGATTGTTTAGCTTCAAATTCTGGAATTCGATTACCTGCTATATCTTTCGTATTAGCACATTTCAACAAGAAACTGCCAATGGAAGAACAAAAGTACATCATGGGCACAGATGCTAATATTATGGTATAATATAAAAATTATTATGTTAAACAAAATATCGTTTTTATTTTAATCATCAATTGCTAAATTTATAAATTAGGTTACTGCTCTTTGTGCTGGAGTACAAGACAATTCTGTGTTAGTACAAAGAAGTGCTTTGGATTTACTGTTAGTCGGTTTTCCTGTACATAATAGTCAATTAACACATGAACATATGGTATCGCTAGTCACAGCTGCTCTTGTTACCATATTAAGGAGAGACATGAGTTTGAATAGGTAAAATAAAAAAATAAGAAATAAGAAATGTAATATTTTTTAAACGTGATTTATATGTATTTCATAGGCGATTATTTGCTTGGCTTTTGGGTACTGAAGTAAGCACATCTATTTTAAAAAGAAAAGTAGATACTACAGTTTCAGAAAATACAGAAAATACACCAACTTATTTTGATATGTACTCGAAAGAAATGTTAATTGAAGCAATAAAGTCATTATTGAAAACTGTTTGCGAGGAAAGTCCACAAGATTTAAAACCATATAGAATATTGGTTTCCTTATTAGAAAAGGCAGATATTGGTCCAGTAATATTAGATGATATTTTATTTGAAGTTTTTAGGTAAAGTAATACCTTAAAAATTAATACAAAAAAATTACCAATAACATAAAAATATTAATTTTTTAATTACAGAACTTTTTATAATGCCTGTGGGCAATCAAATAGAGTACCAAAAACAAACGAAGTGGTAAAATCAGCAAACTTGTTATTTTCAACATTGGAACCATCTTATGTTTGGATACATTGTGGTCACTTATTCGATAAGGCTTGTCAAGCCAGAGCAGAAAGTAAGCAAGAAATGGAAGATATTGTCGTGAGGTCTGTAGGTAGTGGAATACCAAATTTCATAGAAGTATGTATACTGACTGAATTCCTGCTCGAAACGGTGTCATTAGATGCATTTATAGACACTCCTTCCGAGCATTTACCCGGCTTGTTCTTTGAGATCATTAGTAAACTTTTATACCATATTGATTTTTTGTCTCCTATGGAGATTTCAAGAAGTCTTCGATTGTGTGTGAAAATTTTAACGAAAGTACAACCAACGGTAGTTTCTAATCATACAGACAAGAATGAATTAGAAACAAAATTAGATACAACCACGATTACTACTACAACAATCAATGACAATTCCTTAACTGCGATTCCTTTGGAAAAAAGTCAATCGGATAGTAAATTAAATAAACCAGATACAACTAGTGGTTCGTTTTCTGAGAAAAGTCCCAGTCCTAGAAGGAGAGCAAACTCGGGAGGTGCCACCAAGCGATCTGACAAGAAGTCGAAAAAGAAATCCAGCAAAAGTACCTCAAAATTAAGCGAATCTTTACCAGAACCAAGTACTAGTATTTCAGCTGTAGTAAATCATGAATCCAAGGGTTTACCGCGAAATAAAAGCATGGATGATATAAAAACTGGGTACATAGAAATAAATACTATTAACTCTCCATCTAAGGATCAGTTGACTACATTGAAACAATCAAGTAAAAATAGCCCTATGGGATCCACAGGATCTTTGGGTAGAGGGCCGTCTCCTGCGTTTCAAGCACAACATTCTATGTTAGAAAAATGCCTAAGACAGTATGAAACATTTTATGTGAAATTAGTTAGTAATAGAGTATTGAGTAAACAAAGAACAGTTCAGAACATGTTTGATAATTTGATTATACCGTGTCCAAGGGAAAGTTTTGATGAAAGAATGCGATATTTGGAACTTTTATTAAATTCTAGATTAAATATGGAAGATTCTGGCTTTTTTAGCCAAGACATTTCTGTAACAGAAAATACTAAACAGTTGGATATTCTTCATTTGCACATTGATTCTATTTCACAAACAGAATGGGATGAAGCCGTAAAAATTGCCTCGAGTTTGTTTGTTGAGTTATCTACATTTCCTAAATATTTTCTTCCGGGTGATGGTCTGTATGTAGAAGAAGAACCAAAAGGAAATGTTGTTCTTCCAGAATGGTTGAAAGTTTTAGTAGTTTGTACTTGCTGGTTAGGAAAGCAGCCTGCTCTTCAGTTAACTAGTATTGCTACATTGTTGGATTTAGTAGCCTTACTAAAAGCTCATAATGACATTGAAATACATCCAAAAAGTGGGGAGGGAGTTACAGCTGTAATTATGGTACCATTATTGAAACAATGGCATATAACTTACTTGATGCAATATACTAATGTATTTCAGGTATTCGTGTACTTTTTTGTGAAATATCTTTTTTTATCTCTCCATAGATCTAAAATAAATGTTTGAGACCTAAAACAAGTATATCTTTTAAAGGTACTGGCGCATTCCCTATGGCATCATCTTGGTGAATTGCCTGCTCATAAATACAGGATGCGATGTGTTGAACTATTGCACGAGTTACATCATGCACTATACAACTCTTGTGACGCTGTGGAGGATGTAATAGGAGTAGCACTTACATCAGAAAATATAGAAAAAAGAATAGAGGCATTTAATAGATTTGCCACATTATGGCACCTAGGACGAGAAATTGAAACAAATCCTAGATTGCGAGGCTGTATGAAATCATTCGATCAGTACGCGATATAAATTTTTAGTACATTTTATAATAAATCTTTGTGGTACTTGTTATTAACACAAGTTATTCTGCAGGTCATTGTTAAAAATACTGGATAATCTACAACTCGCAGATAACTCTCCTCTAAAGCTTCACGCTCAATCATGGCTTTTACATTCTTTAATGCGGGGTGATATTTCACGGATAGTTGATCCGTTATTAATAATACTCTTGGATCCATCTACCTGTCGTATGAGTGTACTTCATGTCAGTATACAACATAGCAACACTGTTCTAACGAAAAATGATTCTATTGAAGAAAAATCTGAGATACAAGATGATACAGAAGGTGCAGCAAAAATTTATGCAATCAGTTCCGTAGATGGAAACGTGATATATCACGTTAGTGATAGCGTGGATGAAGATAAAAAATGGCGAAAAGGTAAAAAAAAGAAAAAAGCAATTAATCCGGTAAAAGTGAAAAGAATATTCGCTGTGACAACGTTAGCCGCCGGTGACAATTGTAATCAGTACGTAACTGAAAAAAATCAATTCATGAAAGAGCTTGAAGTACCTCCCAGTATATCTGGTAACAGAAAAATCTCCGTTTTTGTAAATCCTTTGTCCCTCAATTGCAACGAGAATTCTAATGACTCAATGGCGGAAGATGACTTGTTATCTAGTGCAAAGAAGACAAACTTAACAACAGAGTTGTTAAAAAATGCCACAAGATTCAAAAAAATTGATTTTGATAAAGGTTCAACCGCCAGCTTAGATGAAAGCCTTTACGATTCGGCGAATTCCAGCTTAAAAACAAAAGAAAAGAATGGGTTTAAGAAATTGAATGGAGAAGTTGGCTCATCCTTGGATTCCATTACTAATAGCTTTGATTCCAGCAGTCCTGAAATCTCTAATAAACAATCGAAACAAAAGAAGGAATCAATTATAATGCCAGGCAGTTCTAGAGAAGTTGCAGGGACTATCATTAAGGGTAAATATCATAGTACAAATGAATTCGTGACGAATTATGATGCTCACGATGTTGGAAGTTTTGAAGCAAGCGTCGAAGTACCTAGTTGGACAATGGATGATGAAGAAGCAGAGCTGGATGTTAGTACAACTGCTGAAGAATACTTCAGTAATTCTAGTGGGAATAGTATAGTTGAAGAAATCTTAAATGAGGTACTTGATAAAATAATGCAAGCTTACGACGTTCTTGAATCATCCAAAAGTGTAAGTGAGATATTTTTATATTGTACTAACTTGAATCTTGTACTAATTTTGTATTAATCTGATAATTTACGTACAGACTGATGAAACCACGTATCAAAACTCAAAGACAGGTCGCAATTTTGGTATTGGTGTGCACAATCTTCATTCACATATGTTGCTTTACTGCGGAGTCTACGATTCAACTAGAACGCTTTACGCACTGCGTACACTTCGTAACGAGCTGTTAACCAACACTAGAATGTTTTTATGTTGCGCTGCAACGACCAGTATAACCAGCACAACAAAAAATACAACGTTGTTAAACTTATTAGCTAGACACCGAAAGAGTGTATTTGGAAGAAATTTTCATGGAGACATAGCAAATACAGAGTTTATAGCAGCTTACAGAAGTAGCATGTATTTAGAAGTCTTAATTAGCGTGTGCCTTTATTTTGCTAGAAGTTACTATCCTAATTTAGGACAGATGAGACTCACACACGAAGAAATTTCGGGAAATCGGCAGGTAATTGTATTCATAATATTTTATTCATAGTTATTTAAATATTCATACAACATTTTTTATGATTAGGTCCAACTTGCAAGCGCAGAACTATTAACGCTTATATTCTCTGAATTAATTCCTATTGTTCGTGATTCAGGAAAAGGTTTTAGTTGTTATATAATTGATCTACTTACTAAGTGTAAAGTACAGAAAGTCGCATTACATTGTCTTGTATCTAGTGTTATGAATATGAAAAATGCTCATAAAGAAAATGAAGAAGTATTTACATTTACAGAAGAAATCATTTTGTTTAATGATCCAATCACAGAGAATGATATGAATAAATGCAAATACAGAGCAAGCGATCATACAGAGGCTTTTCAAATACAACTATTAAGGTGAATATCTATACAATAAAGCAATATAGAGTTATACATTTTATGAGACAGTAATGGATATTTTTGTTATTCAAGACTATTATTAGCTTTAATCATGTTGGAACATCAATGTGGTAATCAAAAAGGTGAAGAAATATGTCCATCAACTACACCAACACCACCTACACAAACTACTCCAACAAAGACTGTTCCTAACATTATGGGAAATAGCTTAAAGTATGTATCTGGTGCACCAATTCCACAACAACCAATGTTTCCTGCTAGCATACTCAGTGCTTTACAATTGGTAAATGCTAATTTTGAATTTAATTATTTTAATAAATGTCATCACTTTGCAATTAAAAAATGAATGAATTAATTCAATAGGTTTAAATTAATGTATTTTTAAAGGATCACATGAGACATTTACATCAACACTGGACAACTCTCGTTACGTCGAGTCTTCCATTCATGGGATCCTCGTTAACGTCCATAGTAACGACAGTTATCCATCAACTGTGTTGCAACATTGAACATTTAGCGTCATATTACATCAATGAAGAAACAACAACGGCGACAAAATTACAAGATATAAGTGCAGTCGAGTGTTGTCTTCCTGCGGATTATACAGTCACGCACCTAGAAGCTTTAACATTCTTACTTCACTATTGTTTACTGGATACATCACAACAAATCGGTTTCTCATTTAATCAGCCTCTAAGTGGCACAATTCAGACTGGAATCCCTGGAGCAAATCCAGGCCAGATATTCAATAATCTTATTCATGTATTTATGCCAAGTCCACTTTCACCGGTAAGTTTATTAAGTTATATCTGTTTTTTAAGTAGTTGGATAAAAAGGCATTTATATTTTGACCTTTTTTATAAGTTTCTTTTCTTTCTTTCTTTCTTTTTTCCTTTTGTAGGATCTTACTATGACAAAAGATAAAAATGTCGCCAGTGAGTTGCAACAACATGCTCGACGAACTGCTTTAAGTCACCTACCAAGAATAATTGCATCTCTTTCCACCCTTTGGCAAGCAGTGTTAGCAACTAAGGACAAGTTTGTCTTATTTTCAATTTTTTTTTTTTTTTTGTTTTTTTTTCTTGCTAAAAAAAATGTATATTATACTAATGAATTTTTAAAATTAAAATTTAGTGATCAGGCCAGTTGTGTAGTAGGTAGTCCAAGAATAGTCAAGCATCAACTTTTAGAACTTTTATCTCCCATATCTTTTCATCATGGTGTAAATTTTCTGGCAGCCATTGCTGTTGCGTGGCACGAGAGACGACAACCTTCTGGTAATACCAAAAAGGTAACTATATTATCAGGTTTTTAAGAACTTATATATACACGTGCCATACATGTGTATATGTATGTGTCTGTTTATATCATATACAATAATATATATTATGTATGTTTTTTATTTAATTAGGTGCTTCCAGAAGCTTGTTCAAATCAACAAGTTATGGTTGATTTAGTAAGCGCGATTCGTGTGATGCCTATCGATACTTTGGTTCAAACTGTTCATCAAGTCGTGAAGAATCCACCTTCGATTCACGGTGTGAAGCAAGATTTTTCGTTAGAAGTTTCTGTATTGGAATTACTTTACGTATACATGCAAAGTAACACATCTCAATCTCTTATTGAATCTTGGGCATCTTTGCTTGGTTTACTCAAAGACGGCCTATCTTTAACGGCGCCCGCCCAATTTCTTTTATTGGCAATCTTAAACGAATATGTACAAAAATGTCCTCCTATGCAAGAGAAAAAAGATATTAGAGATCTACAAGATGTGTCAGCAAAGGTACTTTCTTTTTTATGTATCCCTTTAATTGGTACACTTTTATTTCTATGAATATATTCGATTTAAAAATATTTTAGTTGGTTGAATCATGTTCACAAATAGCTGGGGCATGTCTAGAGCAAACAACCTGGCTAAGAAGAAACTTAGCAGTAAGGGAAGATGCGTTTGAGGTTGCCGAAGGATCCTCGGAAGGTAAAGAAGGCAAAACTGGTGCTGGTGCGTAATGTACTTTTGTTTTAGAAAAATTTTTGTTTTCTATTCCTTTATTAAAGCAATATGCCTTAGCATTATAATGCTGATACAACCTATGAGTTAACAACAAGTTTCTTTACAGTAACACCCGGTACGCCGCCTAATGCAGCATATAGTATTCAAGCTCAAGCAGTACTAGCAGAAATAGTAGCACCTTTATTGGACGTTAGTTACGGTTCTCAAGAAAAAGAACGTGTAGTGACACTGTTAACTAATCTCATGTATAATGTTACGCCATATCTTAAAAATCACTCGTAAGATCCCGTCTTATCTAACTTACGATTAATCTCGTCCTAGTATTGTGTTTTACTAATTACTAAACTTTTAGGACAAAGAATATTGCTTCGTTTACAGCTTGTTCCCAATTACTGAGTTCCTTATCAGGCTATCAATATACAAGAAAAGCATGGCGCAAAGATGTGTTGGATCTTTTATTAGATTCCGCCTTCTTCCAAATGACACCAGCGTGTTTGCCATATTGGCGGACTATCATAGATAATTTAATGACACATGACAATACAACATTTCGAGATTTAATGAGTAGTTATCCTTTTGTGTAGAATAACAGGTAAATGAATTATAAATGAATTTATTTATAATACATTTATTTTATTGTAGATCGCGTTTCTATGGCTCAGAGTAGCAGTATTAGTATATTTTCTTCAAAGGAGCAAGAATACGAGCAGAAAGCGCAGCTATTAAAAAGATTAGCGTACGTAATACTTTGCAGCGAAATGGATCAATATCATAAATACATGCCTGAGATCCAAGGTAAATTATTTCTAGAATATTAGTAAATGCTGTAAAAACATAATTTTTATACAATAGATTCCATCTATTCAAGCTCAAGTTTTTCTTTGTTTTCGGGTGTTACTTCTTAGAATGTCTCCACAACATGCAACTTCCTTATGGCCGGTAATAGTTAGTGAACTTGTTCAAGTTTTCTTGTACATTGAACAAGAACTAAACACAGATAGCGAGGAATTTAGGTAAATAAATATTTCGTTCTTTTTATTATTGGAATTATTCTGCTTTGGGGATTTTGGTGCTTTAAATGCATGATATTTCATTGGTCTTTGTTTGAGAATTATGAAAAAAAAAATTATATTTATAATATTTTATTTAGGATTCATTATATCAATACAGACGTTATCAATTATTATTTATTCGATTTTGCAATCATATTGTTTTCTTTCTAAAATAAATTAAAATGCGATTTTGAATTTAATGTAGTATTTACATAGCTTAATAATTTTTCATTAAGTGTATTTAATACTGTGTCCTAATTGAACTGTTTGTATCTTCTCCTTACTAACATTAATAATGCCTCTAATGTCATATTGTTTTTGACTTTGTTTCGGTATCCGTGATTTGGTGGAATTTATGATGCCTCCGTAAATTGATTGGTGTTGGGACATCAGTCGACATGGCAGGTAATTTTGAATGCTTCTTGCATATTAACGTATACGAAACAAAATGTAAATTTCCAAAAGTATTTAATTCTTAGATACTGCGTTCCGAACGGAAAAAATGTAATATTATTAAATTTTATGAAATCATTATAAGGTAATATTACATTTCTTCAAGAAAAATTTTGTAGCATTGGGAGATAGTAGTTACAAAATGGATAATTCATGGGATTTGTGTTTGTTTTGTTTTTCTGCTTTTGATTGCAATATGCTAGAACAAATAAAAATATAGATTGTAAAATATTTTAACTAAATTATCTTCTTTGTAAAGATACTATATTTTCTATTTCTGCATAGTTCACATATAAAACTACTCTCAGCTTTGGATTCATCTTGGGCTGTAAATGCTAGCAATGGACTCCAGGCACATGGCCATCCTCACTGGTTGCAATTACAACTTGCAGCTGCTAAATTATTAGATCTAGCATTGCTTTTACCTGCACACAGACTTCCTCAATTTCAAATGTAAGTAAAAATTTAAACAATACATACAATCAATAATTCTCATAAAGGAAATTACATGAAATTGAGAATTTTTGTAGGTATAGATGGGCATTTGTAGGGGATTCAGCAGCAGGTTCCATGGATAACAATAATTTATCTTCTGATTTTGTACCACACATTACAAGAATAGCAAAATTGATGGATAGCAAGGTATGTTTAAAAAACACTTTATATTCGATTTTACAAACCTTTCCATTATTTTATTCAAATTAATATAAATTTAGTATCCTGTTGTGCTACAAAGCGTCATCAGTGTTGAAGTACAATAAAAACATTGCACTTTTGATGTGTGTTAACTTATACAAGTTATGTGATATAAAAATTGTCTTCTTTTAGAAAACATTGTTCTGGTAACAGACATTGTTGCGTTTTTTCATCAAATACATATTCCTCTTTACATTCACATCCACTTTTACATGGCGTATAACAATCTACCATATCTGGTTCTGAACATGTAAATTGACAAAGACAATGAGTCCAAACAGATCTTTCATCGCATTGTTGAAAATGTTTAGTGATCATATAGTCAAGTTCTTCATAATCATATCCAGGAATTCGATGTTTTGTGTACCGGTACACCTTGTCAGGTTTATACCATTCTAATTGTGGAACTGATGATTTTTTTTTTAAGGAATCGTCATTATTTTCAAACGGAATTTGAAGATCATTTTTATGCGAGTAAACGTTATTTTGTATATTCGCATCTTCGAAATTACTCAAAATATAGAAATCATCCTGAACCATATCCAGATGGTCTTTATCAAAATTTTCAATATAATTAACAGGTATATCTTCATAAAATTCTAAATCTTTGTAATCAGAATCATCTGTATATTCTACAAAATACAAAGCAATTATAATGTATTATAAGTAAGCTTACTGTATGATTTATATCATTTAATTTCTATTAATTACAGCCAATTAACTTAAATGGAGTCTATTGAAAGCGGAGAAATTATAATGAACTATTAACCATAGATTTATTTTTCTGTGGTTAATTATGATGTTCATTTATGTAATTCAAAATAAATAATAAACTAAAACATTTTTGATATCTTTATATAAAAAGCGAATATTTATGGTTTAAACAAAGTATTAAATTAAAAAATTAATCCTAACTTGTAATAATATATATAAACTGCAAAAATATAAGTAAAAGATTTTTACATAAAGCTCTCTTAAATATTTTGAATATTATTACAACAAATATTCAATTAAAGATATTCATCATCTACAATTAAGTGGAATTTTTTACCCTATTTTTTTATTGTTATGAACTGTATATTTATAAATTTTAAACATTTAAAAAACACTTACGTGATTGTGTATAACACTTACGGGCGTTTATCACTACCACAAGACAAAAAATGAAATAAGTAATTGTTCTTAGTCCAGTCACTGCCATGGCCACTTTGAAACTGATTGACAGCAAACTGTACAGTCTTTTAATACAAATGTACTCAATTAACACTGTATGTAACTTCACTCACATATTTCTTCTACTTATAATTCTCATTTAACTATTACTAAAGAAAATATTGTATATTTACTTTAAATATTTAATGCTTTATGTTTTTCCAACTTGTATTAAAAAGAAAATTGTTTCACATGATCATTTGTGGAACTGTTTTTGTTTATTGTTAATATTTTTTGTTATTTTATTATTTCTTTGATCTCAATAATTTAATAATCTCTTAATTTGACTAAATAGAACACATATACTACTTTGGACTGCTTTCATCAGTTCTGATGAAATACTTATTTTGGTAACATACAAATGATATATGTGTACTTTACTTTTGTATCTATGCCAATCACTTTTCATTTCAATAGTTTAGTGCTTAAATTACGTTTCAGAGTATAATATAAACTACATTTATATTATAAAAATTTGTTTAAGGATTTTATGAACATTTAATAAAGTTTTATTCCAAATTATATTTGAAGACCTTTCTGTTCGTTTTTATAAACCAAAAAAATAATTTAGAAAAGAATTACTTTTCATTTATAAATAATAAAATGGAATACTGAATAAGTGTTTTTTGTACTGTTTAAAGATTTATCTCAATTTTATATCACGTAATATTTGTTTTGTTCTAGTATAAACAAGAAACAAACGCTTTAAAAGCTATACCCGGTGAACTTCTTCTAACGTCGAATAATATTCGTTCATTACAAGATCTGCATTATTTTTTTACAACATTGAGCCGCAGATCGAGTGACACACAGGCACCGTTGAATATTACACAATTGGAGACAGTGATCGAGCAAGATTTTCTTGAAAAGATGCCAGCTGCAAGATAGTAGAAATATACACATTGAAACAATGTAGCAAGACACTTTTTTAAAAGGGGAAAGATGAAAGAGGCATCTAAACATCTTTATTCTTTGATATCTTTTTAATGCACTAAAGTGAACGTTAATCCATATACAATAAACTACAAGAACCTAATTGAATTCTATTGAAAAGAGTAATTCAACTCCATTAATTCAATTCTATACAGTTCTATCATTAAACTTGTACATCATGAATTAAGTAATGTAGAAAATGTATTATATAGCGATATTCGAATGAATATTTGATTTTTATTAGCTAAGCTTCTAACTTGTCTCCTCATTCGGTTGTGAATAGTTATCAAATGATACAGTATGCCAGGCAGGTGCCTAGCTGAATATTAATATCTGTAGAAAAATATGTACAGTGTAACATAACATTTTATCCAAACGTTGTTTCTTCAACTGTTTCAAAGTTGCTTGTTCTTTGTTTGTCACGTATATCCTTCTTTTCTAATATTAATGGAATTTTGAAGGATGGTAGGAATTTCAGTGATAAAATATATACAAATAAGTCAATGTTTCTTATTTTCTTTAAATTTACATAACAATTCATGAAAACTGTGAAATAGTATAAAATACAATTTTCTGTAGTTAATTGTAGATGTGTTTAAACACATCATGTTATTGATTTGTTTATATTAAGAAACTTTTAGTTTTCTATTATTTTTTATAATTTAAGAACTAAATAAATGCATGTAAGTAAGCTACAGTGACATTTAAAGTGCAAAGATTGGGAAATATATTATATTTGAAAATGTTAATTATCATATTTAGAAATTTAATGTATATGAACAAATGAAAACAGAGAATATGTTTATACATATATCATATGTGTGAATATTATTATTATGTCTTTCTTAAGATAGTATTAATTTATTGATTATTGAAAAAGTTATCAAATAATATTTCAAATATTAAATATATCACTTAAGTTTGAAGAAACTTATTTTACCAATCCAATTAGAATTATAATCTTCACACATGTGATTCATCTATTCGTATGTAATTAAAAAGAAATCAACAAGAAAACATGCTGTAAAATTATTTTTCTGTATTTGAACATGTAAAAATTTCAAAAACATGTAAGTTCTTAAACAATTTGTAAAACAATTAATTTGTGAAATATTTGTTTGTTGCCATTTTGATTTTATCATGTATGCATGTGTATATACATATATATTTGCTATATAATTGCTATCGCATTACCACCGCCTTCTTATGCTATTTTACTTCTATTTAGATGCGAAATAAATTAAGTAAATAAACATACACAAAATATTATACGCTACTAATTAATTTAATGATTAAAAAATTAAGTAACAAACAAAAATGTATCTACACAAGAGAAAATTACGAAATTTTATAATCATTCGTCGTGCGATGCAACGGCATTTGTTATTTCCCTTTAAAAGGTATTTACATGTTATTTAGTTATTTAATATGTATACATGATGTGAATATCTAATAACTAAAATGATATTCATTCGTTATTTATACAATGTATAAGAATGAAAAAAATAATTTTTCAATTGAAGATTTCATTGTAATTGTAGAAGTAAAGATATTCATATTTTAAATTTCGTAATATTTATAAATATTAACATAATTATTTTAATATTAAAAAATTAATATATTGTATGAAAATTGAAGTATATTTTGTAAGTACTTAATCCATTTCTTTAAACAAAAATTTTTATTTAAGTAATTGAATAATCAAATTGATATCTAATAATATTACTTTTACATGAAATGTTTATAGTTACTTGATGGAACAATTCATTAAGCTTTATTACATGTAAATATTTTAAAACAACATTAGTCAAATAATTCTTTAAATTATTGTGTAGTACATTTTCATAAGAAAAAATATATTTGTTGTGTTTCTTGTTTTTCCTTTTATTTCATATTTTTGATAATAAACAAATTAAAAATTCGATAATCCAAAACACAAAACAAAAAATTGTAAAACGTATTGGCAAGAACAAATAATTAATATTCATATATGTTTATGTTAAAATATGTAAATTTATACAATAAATCAATGTTCAACAAAATATTACTATTAATTAATTTCTTATTTGATCTTTCTCAGTCAAGAACGTTATTTTCGTTGAAATGAAATTCAAAAAAGGAACAAATGATAACTGTAAATTTAAATCAAGCGCGTTTCTCGTTACCTGTATATGATTCTTATTATACGATCATTGATCCTCGCAACGCCATTAAAATTGAACACATTCATAAAATCAACGATTTACTATTTTTATTTACAATTTTGTTACAACTACTTGAGATTCTACAATGCATCAAATTCATCACAATACATGTAGATAGAATAAAAAGAATCACTAAAAAACCACGAAATATGTGCAGCGAAAATGCTTAAAATTTCAAGGAATGGCTATTTGAGCATCAGTTATCAAAACACAGTGACACGGTGATGTCGAACGAGGGAAGAAAAATGTCACAGAACCGGAGATAGTTGGAAGGTGCATATGATAGACGACGGTATTAAGCAATATCCATGCACATAAGCGGTTACGTGCAGAAACCGGTTCTCCTGAATCGTTATACTTGAAAGGCTAGTTCCGAACAGACGAAACAGCACAAGGTGAAAGTAGAATGATAAAAGAAAAATTTGAAATTTGCAAAACGAAAATCACCCGTTGAAGTGTCCGGGTGGCACGTGTAACGTGACTAAGAAAAAGATGCATGCATTGTTTAATCACAATTTTGTAACTGGACTTCTACGTTCGGTATGGGCTGTTGGCTAACCTAATTCGTGAAGCTGATCGTATTTTGCGATCACGTATCTGACGTGAACGTAACTACGGAAAATAAACACGCAGTGTGATTATCATCGCGTAATCTTTTCATTGCGAAGACTACAGGAAGAGAATATAAATTATAGAAAGTAACAGTTCGTTATTACATTGTTTACAATGGCTGTGCCTAACAAGTGGGAGAATGCTTGTAGATTGTGCTCAGAAGAGAAAAATGAAATGCTGTCAATTTTCGGTAACGAAGGTGTACAGCGTAAAGTGGCACAAAAGTTACGTGCTTGCCTGCCAGTCTTAGTATACAAAACCGATCCACTGCCAAAGCAAATATGTCAGTTCTGTGCTGCAAGGCTAGATGACGTTTATGAATTTAGAGAATACTGTTTGAGTGTTTATAAAAGCATGCACTTGAAGCTATTAACTTATAAAAATGTTGAGTCTGTTCAGATTTATTTAGAAGCAATGAAAAACTCCCCTGATCCCTGTCAGGTGTCTAATATTTTTAAAATTAATTTATGTTGTGTAACTGTTTGCATATTTTTTTTGGATAAATAACATTATAATTTTTAGGCCCAACTATGGAGAGAAAAAGCTAGAGCACCGCCACCTTTAGTACCTTTGCTAATTTCACTGCCAGTTGAAAGTCCATCAATACCAATAGATATTAGTCAAGAGCATCAAAACAGTTCCATTGAATCATTACCTGAATTACCATGCGAAGTAGAAATTAAAGAAATGAATACTGAACCAATATTAGAAGCAGGTGTTAACATATATGAGCCACCACATAAAAACAGTATACAAGATGAGTTGTGTAATAAATCAGATGTAATAGTAGAACAAAATGCAAGTTCATTAAAAGATGAAAATAACGACTTAAGACAAGGAGGACAAGTAAAAGAAGAAGAAAGGAGGACAAGTATTTTAGAACAAGTACTAATGGGTAGTTTAACAATGAGTGACAGAAAAGATTTGAACTCAGAAACAAAGCTATCTTCTAAATGGTGGTGTGCTCCTTGTAATAGTTATTACAAGTAAGTTTTTGCAAAGTACAGTGTATTTTTTCCATAACTTTGTGATCAGTAATTATTTATTGCAGAACAAGGGAAAGTTTAATGAAACATATGCAGTTACATTGTCCAAGAAAGTATAACTGCAGAAAGTGTTCTGCTTACTTTGGATTAGTAGAAGACTTGGCTAAACATGAAGCTACTAATCATTTGAAAGTAACATTAGACTTTGATAGAAGCGTTTTAGATTGTGATCAGTGTGATAGACAATTTGTAAGTTGGGAGATGTTGAAGAAGCACAGATTACGTGATCATTTAACTCAGATAAATGAAATTGGGACCAATACATGGTGCTCTTTATGCAATAGGTTGTGTACATATTTCGTTTTTAGTTGTTTCTTGGTATTACAATTTTAATTTTTTATAATTCCTTTGACTTTTATCATATATGTGTCCTCCCATAGATTTTTTCCAAGTACAGAAGCTTATCAAAATCATATTCAATTACACGAAGTCAGTAATTACACGTCGACGAAATCACTACAATTAACAAATCAACAATCAATAAAGATTCTCAAAAGTGAGGAATCTTCAAAAGAAGTGAAAAAGGAACATTTTACAGAAGCTACTAAATCACTTACATGTCCTACTTGTGGAAAAGTAAACAATTTTATATGTGTTTTATAAAAGAACATTATTATAAATTATATTTCTTACAATCTTATTTCTTTTTTACAGATTTGTACACAACAAAGTGCATTATCAAATCACATGCGTACTCATGAACCAAAAAGACACAAATGTGATATATGCGGCAGATCTTTTGGACTTTTTATACGTCTAGCAGCACATAGGATGAGTGAACATAGTCAGCAACCAACAATGTCACCTGTGATGGCTAGCGTTGAACAAGAAGAAGCACTAAATGCTGAGAGGGAAGCTAAAGAGGCGAGGGAAGCCAGAACTCGCACAGCAAGAACTAGAACATACTCAGAGGTTGAATTATATCTATTTATTTATATATTATTTTTAAAAAAAGGTAATAAAAATGTAAAAATAAAAGTATCACATTGTAACTTGTAGATGATAGAAAGAGAAGATATTCCTAATCATGAAGAATCACCTTCAAAAAGAAATGTTCCATTAAATACTAATGCATTTAAAAATGTAGCAAGATGTGGTATATGTTTACAATGGTTCAGTGATCACACCACAATGTTAACGCATTTACAAACACATTCAGATAATTACACTTGTAAAAATTTCACTTGTCATATATGTAAAAAATCTTTTAAAGAAAAGTGGCAATTATTTAGGCATGAGGTATGTATTTATTAATTTTGAAATATGTTCTTTTGTGAGCTTCTTAACGTTCTTTTATTGTAATAATAGGTATCTCATAAACGAAATGAATCTGCATCAGTGTACATATGCACAGTATGTAACAAATCATTCGTAGACAAAAATGCATACAAAACACATCAGAAAACGCACATTGTTGATAAAACATATCATTGTTCAAAGTGCAATAAAATATTTTTCAAAGAAGTATCTCTATTAACGCATCAATGCACAGCAGAAGCTGTACTCGGTAAAAAAGGAGTTTCTTCAAAGACTTCACAAAAATCTGCATCATTGAGCAACAGCAAAAGGTATAAATGTTCCAAATGCAATGCATCTTTCAGTAGTTTTCAATCGAAAAACTCTCATATGAGGGTACATATGGAAAGTTCACATACAACAGTAAGTAGCTGCTATTGAGCCATTTTTATTAATTTTCAGGTATTTGATATATTTAAAAATTTGCTTCCCTCTTATCCACATAGGTGCGGAAACAAGATTTAAAGCAAGAATCAGAAGAAGAAGGAGAAGAAGAAGAAAGTATGCCTAAATTAATTCCTGAAACTTCATTGGAATACTCCATTCCTCCCATTGAACCGAAAATAGAAATAAATGAAGAAAGTACACCACCTCCTGTTAAACGAACCCTAATCAGGACAACTGGCGGGTAAGATTAAACTTACATTAAAAATAAATGAATTAAAAGTATTTATAAAATATTGATATTTGTAACATTTATAATTACTTAGGTATCGATGCGGGGTATGTCAATCTCCATTTGTTTTACGGGAATTAGCTGTTGCACATTTGAGATCTGCACATCCTCTTATGCCATATCAATGTCCTTACTGTAAAAAGCGATTTACTACACAATATACATTCACGCATCATATTAAAACTGATCATCCTGATGAGCACGAGAATTGAATTGTACAAGTTAACATGCCAAACGATTATTATACCATAAAATAATGCCTTTGAAAATGGGGTAACATCTGTTTATATATATAAGATATATATAATTACTTACACATATACATATATTAACAGTTATCGGTTTTATGCTGAAGCTGTATTATTTGATAATCCGGCACACTAGTTCCTGAACAAAATAATTGGCCTTAAATAAAAATTTTGTAGTTCTGTTTCGTAAAAAACGGAAAAAAGATATATACGATATATTCATAAATAAATATAGATTGTGTTGAATGAAATATAGTTTTTAATAATGAGTAAGTATCATTTATTAATAGGAGACTGGAGTAGAGCTAGTACTTATACTGAACGTGCCTGTTTAAGTACTCTATCATAGTGCTATACGAATTTTTAGTCAAGTTGATTTATGAATGCCGAAGAGACGTGTTATTGTATTAAATATTGTATATGTTGTTCATTAGCAATAGTTTCCCGAAATTGTATAAAAGTGTTATCCGTTTATATCATTCGTTAGCGTTGACAGACATTCCTCCTTTTTTCATAAGGAAATTCTGTAAGTTTTAAAAATGTTTTTTATTCTTTCCTTGTTTTTTAATAATTAATTAAAACTTGGATAAACCTAGAAAATAAAAACAAACAAGTAAACTTACCGTTACTGTAAATTATTATTATTGTTTTATTTTATATATAGAATATTTACAATAAAATCACTACCAAGAGAAAGCTTTGTACGCTTATTAAATAAACTTTTATTATAGAAAACATTTCTGTGTACAGTTCAACAACTTACCTTTTTCAATATTTAGAAAGGAAATCTATTTCATTTTAATAAACATAATTTTTTTTTAATCATTTAGTTGTTCTTTATTACATTATTGTTTATAAATGCAAATTTACACATATACCTAATGGAGATGATAAAGAGAGTACATGGCATCGTCGATAGATAGCGCAGTTTGTGCTTCGGATTCATTGTGTGTATGTGTATATGTATATGTACGCATGTGAAATAGTAATTGAGACTGTGGATTGTATTTTATAATTTTGACAGTCATTTAAACGTTTCTCACACATATAATAAGTATTGTAAACTATATTTCTTCTAAATAGAAAAATAGACAGTGTAACTATATTTCGTAAGCATTTCCAATGTCTGACAACATTAATCATATACTACTGTACGTCGAATGATTATGAGTGTGCTTTACTACTTATCTGATAATAATTTGTTGTCCAAATACGTGTATATTGACATAGATACGTGCATATCATCATATCTTAAAAATAACTACAGCTTCCGGAATAATTTTACGTGAATTACGTAGTAAAAATATAGTTATTGATACTGGAATTCGCTATTACATAATTTTAGAAATTTCGTTTAATAAAAATAACTAGAATATTATAATATAAATTATTTAAACTATATAAATATAATAATTCAAAATTTGATATAATTTTTTTTTATTAACAAATTCAAAACAGAAAGCACCAATTATTTGTTTTATAAAATTGTAATTAAATTTTAATCTTGAACTCTTGAATATTATTTATCAAATTTTAAATCACTATTTTAATGAAAACTAAAATGCAATAATCATTTTCTTATTATGATTTTCTTAATATGACAGAAAGAAAACAATAATAAGGAAGATATTACCTTGATAACGAAAATTGGCTCCAGTACTAGTAGGGTACGGTGGTGAACAGCGGGTGGACGTAAAGCGCATGGAAAAACCAGAGGGGGCAGATCTGCCGCATAGCCGACGAAAACTCGTCTGATTCTCATCAGACGCGACGCGTCCGCGATCACGTACGGTGCACTATACAAGAAAACCAGAAGGTTCGTACACGTTTGTTCAGTCATTTCGGACGTGAGAACAGAGAGATACAGATAAGACCTGTCGATCGAACACTGCCATCGCTTAAATTCTTTTCATTCAACTTTGAATTATTTTTCTATCATTATTTGATTTTCGAGGTGGGTCTACCTTATAGAAATTAAAACCAACTAATCGGACCTGCCGCGTGCGAATTTTCCATGCAGCGAGGGTGGAGACAACACGTCCGAAGTGACTGACTGCAACGTGTTTAGCTGAAACACATGGTCCGGTGATCGTGATCATGATTGCAAATCGTCTCGCATCGATCGTCACCCTCGTCCTCGTGGTACTGCTGTCGACTATTCATCACGGTGAGTACGATTTTTCGCGCCTTCCTGTTTGTTGTTTCATTTCAATATTCATTCATTTTGAAATTATTGTCAACAATTGATACATGATACGTAGATTCTTTTATACATAAAATTGTATTTGTTTAATTGTTATGAAAGGATAATGTATCAGGTGATAAATCACGTCCTATTTTAGCGACCTAGTTTCTGATCGAACTAGTAAATTACTAATCGATCTATGGAAATTCTTTGTTTCTTATCGTGACTTTTCTTTTATACTAGCGCACGCAAGCATGCATATTTGAAAACTATATATTTCCACTAGTTTCAGTCATTAATTATTAATCATAAGTCATACGAACCTGTCTTCGTAAAAAATTTAAGTTTTTTTTTTTTCATAATGTTTCTGCATTTCTGCATTATCAATTGTCTTAACTTTATAAGAACCAGAAGTTGATTGAGCAAAACTTCTCACTATAAAGCATTCATTTAAAAGAAAAAAAATTTGGTTATTAAAAGTGTCATATATATTACAACACAATATATTATTGATAAAGAAACAAATGCACATATAGTAAAAGGATATGATTCAATTTACCATTACTTTCACAAGTGTTTTACACACTAATGACAAATCCTTCAGATGAAAAGTCATTAAAGAGCGACTAGAAATTTTTCTATGAAATTGAAGTTATGCGAACTATAAGAAAAGACGCCAAAACAGACAAGATATTGATTTCAGGTTATATAAAAGGTACGATCGAGTTTTCATCGGCCGCACTGCTTGCAACTTTTCAGTCATGTCTTCTTTATCGACTCAATGCTATCTTCCTTCCAATCGTATCGATATAAACTGTCAAACTTTGAAGCATCGACTTTTGTACTATAGGTCGATACTTTGATAGGTTATGTCATGCACAATAGATGCATAAGATTAACGTAAATGAGGACAATTAGTACTTAATAAAATAGTGTGCGTAGAGGACATTCCTGTCCTGTAGAGGATTATGGTGTTCCAGATGTTCGTCAGAGAACTCGTACAATAGTAGCACTTGTAGTACTTCCTCGGTGCTTGCCCGGAACCAAGTGTACTCAATTTCTAAATTGAATCTCATTATAAAAGTAAATCGTACGGAAGGAAATGGGTCACAGGAAGTAGGAAGTACAATTCTATCGCTCGGGAATGAACCATAAAATTGTAGAACTTCGTGTTCTGAATACTGAAAAATCTATCAAAATCGACTAGAAACATCCAGGATATATGCTCCGCAATTAAAAGTAATCGTCTTCGCAAGAAAATATAATTTTGCACTTTTCACGTTGTTTTTATGATAACAAGAACAAATTAAACAAAACACATCTAGATCTAAGTAATGAAGTGCATATCTAGAACATATCTAGGAACAAAAGAAAATAACTATTTTGGAAGTTATTCCGTTAAAGAGTGCAACTTTTATAAAAGTTTACAGTGCTGCAGCAATGCGACACAAATGTATCGACTTTTCATAAGTAGCTATTTCTATAGTATTTAATAAATATTTTTTAACATTTGTAAAATAATGGCTATTTTTATAATTGTAGAAACGACGAAAAAAGCCAGATGTAACAATTACGAATTTTAAGGATGAAAACTCTTTATCATGAACATTTTAATATACACAAAAAATTTAACAATTTATTAACCAAAAAATATTTACAAATTGCAGTAATATTGACACAGAAACATACTAAATTGGTACAATATTAAAAGGATGGAATCCAAAAGTGACGTAAGCAATGCGTTGTTGCGTGAGTTGGCTTCAATCGTTAGATGGTGACCTTAAAGAAACAATTCTGCAACTGGTCGAACTTAAAGCCACTAGTCGTATTTAATTAGAACTATTTTGGGCAAATGTGAAAGAAAAGATGACAATGATGGTTTCTAAAGATTCGATTATTTTCTTTTTTCAGGGAAGATGCTTTCTATCTGTTAGTTGAAGCAATTTGTTGAAATTTAGAATTTTGGTTCATAGAACCTGGTCCACGCGAGGGTTTATCGAGCGACCCACTTTCTCCCCTCCCTCCCGTTGCATTCTCTCACACTCTTCTTCGAATTCTATTCTCTCTGCACCGCGTGGTACCGTGACCAAGGGGACGTTCCTCACGTTAACCTTGTCTTATTGGCAAATTTTTTGTAAAATTTGCATTGTTGTATCATGTCTATGTAAACTATACATTATATATTCATTTCCTCGAATGAATCAGATACTCCACTCAAACAAAGACTGATAATTAGCAGGATAAGAATAATTAAACGTCATTTCATTCAAATGCTTATATAAGAAGTTGGTTGGTTGGCTGGGTCAAGTCAGTTACATTTGTATTCAAAATTATTTAGGAATACAATGGCGTGATTATGTTAAAATATGTAACAAAAAATACATTTTATTGACTTAATTCTTTTTATAGAAAATATATTTAGAGTGTCATATGTTAAATTACTAAATCTTGCAATTAAAGGGAAACGGTTATCAACATTGTATTCTATTTTTTGTTATGGGGGATGATATATCGACAAGGAAGAGGCATCTGGGCTGTCCTTTCGTTTTACTTCCTGTCGATTACATAAGGACCTGCAATGTCACGCAGCGCTTGTTGGTTCCTCATGCGACTTGCCCCTACCGTCTACCCCAGCTGCCCTGCCCTATTTACTGCTGATCGAACGTCTCGTGTGGTTTCAAATGTCGTTGAAGAGCCTGCTGTACACACACGCTTCTAATCAATGTTTTCACACTTCGTATGGACTAGTTAAAATAGTACAGAGGCTTCTCTAACCTGTCAATGTTATAACATTTTGACTTTCTCTCTTTAATCAAACCGCCATGGAAATTTGTTTTCTTGCGACTGTCGTGTAATAGACCGTGTCCATTATACTAATTTTATTCTTGAATACATCTTAGTAGTTATATTAAATTGTATAAAAAAAGTATTGCCTTTCTTTGTTAAAGGAATGTAAAGAAATGTTTTATGATAGTCATAAATCATGTCGATGATTATAAATTAAATAGTTCTTTCGTAAAATTCATTTTCGCTTAATAATGCTAAGGTAAAAAGGAAAATCTGTATTACAATGCTATAAATCTTTCCATTGAAAGCTTACAGAGCAGCGTGAGGTAGCTAGTGAAATGCCCTGCAGAATTTAGTCAAGGTCAGGGTACTGAGCCGTCTCATCTATATTTTCGTTTTACGCTCGAGGTGAATTTGAGTAATCAAAGTGAAAAAGCTAATGAGGGAATATAAAACCTTATCTGTGTAATTATTTTCTATTCAGTATTAAAATATTCTTACGCATATCATTACTTCCCCTAAATAGCAAATAAATTATGCTAAAGCATTAAACAAATAAAGTAAAATTTTTAAGTAATTGATAAATGAACAAATTTTGTTAAACTTCTGTTTTAAATCATTAACCGAGTATAGTGTTTTAATTTTGTAAACTGGCTCTAAATGAATGTTTAAAAGATTGAAACTAATGAATATATTATTTGTGTCAGGTTGGTATTGCCAAAATTTGCAAAATTAGCGCTCTCGTCAATAGACCTATTTTCCTATGTGTGTATCAGTAGGTCATCGCGCGCACTGTCGGGATCTTCCTGCTCGATATCAGCTGGTGCTGTAACCAGACTCGGGAGGGTGAATGGGGTTGCTCGGTGACGTCACAACGCGGCAGGGCCGTAACCAATCACCAGCACTTTGCAAACCGAGCGTAAAACAAACTTCCAAATTTTGAATAAAACGGTCCATCCTAAAAGAAATTAAATTTTTATTAACCATTCAACAAAACACTTAACAATTTATAAGCATTATTAAACATTAAACATGGAATTAAAAGACTCACTAAATATCTAAATAATATTTATTTTAAATGATTTAAACCATAGATTATTTTCTTTTCAATTCATTAATGCTATTTATCATTTTACAATAAATCAAACCGTAATCTATTTAGAAGAAATAATTATTCACAATGTTTCAAATGTTTATGTATATTTTGTAACTTTAAACAAATGTTAACAAATTAATTGTATACATATATGATAGCGAGTATAACCCGCATATTAGTGGCCCAGTTTTGAATAAGTTTCAGCACGCGATAAGGATAGTGAATAAGGAGCCACAAGTTATAATATGGATTCAGCAGTTCTTCTAAGTCCTGACCTACCCTATTGTAATTAATAGAACAGCAGATGTTTCGGTGTTTCGTGATGCGTACAAAATAAATTCAGTTTGTCGTAATTTATATAATTCCCCTTTCCTTTTGAACCATACTTTTTCTTTCAAAATTAAAACTACTTTCATGTATTTAGATTAAATCAAATTTACACTACTGAATATTTTATTTTTATTCAGTGTTTAATGTTAAATTTATTTTCTAGGAGAAGCAATAATATGTTACCAATGCAACAGCGAATACGATCCAAGGTGCGGCGATCCGTTCGATTCGTACAGTCTTGGAACCGTGAACTGCAGCTTTCAACCACGCTTGGAACATCTAAGCTTCCTGGAACCAACTCTTTGTCGAAAGATCAGCCAAAGAGGTACATTCAATAAAATCATTATACGCATGATAACGCTCTGAAAAAATAACACCAAAAGATAACATTTTTGTATGTAAAAATATACCAAACTCTTCATAGATTGTATAACGAATCATTAAAATCTAAACTACTGTGTAGTGATATTTATTATCGGATGAGGATAAATAGTTACCTACATTGTTGCAACTTCAACTTCAAAAGTTCTATGCTTAGAACTCAAATACTGAAATAAAAAAGGTACACATGTGACATCTTTTTCAGTTTCGAAATACCTCTAAGTTGTATATATACAACGTCATTTGTCATTTTTTCAAATAGCTTCATATAATTCTTTTACATATCCCGGTAATCGTTCTTCAGGGATGAATTCGCGTAGCTTACATTAAATAACGCCATCTATACTCCGAATGCACAACTACTTGAGTTTAGTGTAATATTTAAAAAGTTGTTGGTCTCCTTAAAATAGTTTTCGTAAACTGAATTACTATATATCAACATAAAATTTTTAAAAAATCAGTTTTCTAAAATTATTTTATTATCTGTACAATAAATAAACAATTTACCTTCGTCGCTTTAATTGCATAGCGAGTTAGCTGTTTTGCGTCTAGATATTTTCTTAAAGTGTGTGAAAACAAATTGTGACTTTAAACAATTTCCAGTGTACGGCAAGATCAGAGTGGTCAGAGGTTGCGGATATATTACGGACGAGAGAGACAATGCCGACTGTATGCTGAGATCAGGCACTCACGACGTTCAAGCAATATACTGCTCATGCACCGGTGATCTCTGTAATTCGGCCGAAAGCCACACGCCGTCCTTCTTATTGCCGTTGACGTCTATGTTAACGGTTGTCCTGGCGATGCCCAGTTTACTTCTTTCGTACCCGTTTGCAATACCCATCTTAACCTCGCCGCACTTTTCCATAGCCTAAACTCCTCCAGTCACCAGCAGATGACACTTAACGCCTAAAACCGAATTAACGATTCAATAGAAAACACTGTTCGGATCCGGGACAACTCGTTTTCGTCTGATTCCTTGCACACTCGAGATCAAAACGCCGCGCGTATAGGTTAGATCGCGATCGACTTTAGAGTAAACGACTTTCATCGAATAATCGATCGATCTTACAAAAAATTGAAATTTAAAAAGTTACAGATTTCGTTAGTTCTTTTAAGTTATTCTTAACGTGCAATAATTTCTAGTGAAATGAGATACAGGAAACGAGACTGATAACGAGTTGTACATAATTACAGCTCTTATCACTGTTATTTTTAAAAAGATATGCTGGACGGTAAGCGCTTTATGCGCTTGTGTATACCGGGATTCAAACAGTTCGCAGAAGTAGTCAAATTACAAAATAGTAGTTCTAACGGTGATACAAACTGCCAGATACGCGAGAGCGTACTTCAGTAGTACACTACAAAAAGATTTAAATGGGAAGAAAAAAATACACATATTCGGCCTCCGCACGTGAAACCACTCAGTGTCTCTCGCATAAGCATAGAAAGTAAAAAAAGGAAAAGAAAACTAAATATAATACCTAAGAGAAAAGGAATAAACTTTGAAAAATATATATAATATATATATAAATATGTATGAAGTAGCGATAATGCGAACATTCGCACTTCGTACGTTACTGTTAAACAGATGATACAAAATAAAAAAAAGATATATATATATATATATATATATACACACAAATATATATTATATTTTATTGGGAAGAAACAACAATGGAATTGCACGCATAAGGGATATTACAGCTTATTTTTAGAGAAGTAACGTCGGATTACTTTCATGAATGTCCGATTCTTATATACAAAATTTCAAAACTGATATGCATACAAGAATAAATTTGGAAAATAAGAAAAAAAGAAGGAAGGTAACACATATCTAAATAAGTAATTTGTTTTACACTTTATTCAGACGAAGATGAAACAAAAAGTTGAATCCGGCATTATGATTGTAACCCGTATTCCGCTGATTTTTGCAATAAAATGTGTAAACGATAGACGGTAGCGGAGGCTCGCGAAAGAAAGAAAAGAAATATTGATGTGTGCATGTGTGTGTGTATGACGAGTGAATGTTCGTATGTGTGTGCACACAGTTACGTGTGAATATGTGTGCATACGTGAATATACGTATATACGTATGCATAATATAAAAAAAAGCTAAAAAGATATTAAAAGATATACATATATATAGTTCCATTAAGAAGCGAAATGTTGCTACTTCTTCAACCGTAGTCAACTAATGAAAACAGTAAATTAAAAAGAAGCATAAACAGAAAACCAAAAAATAACATGAGAAAAAAACAAGAATCGTAAATGAAAATCGTAACGGAGGTGTAGAAACTATCGTCAATGGAGAAAGTAGAGGGTAAAGTAGAACGCTTATTGAAACAAACGAAAAAAAATAAAAATATAATAAATATCAACACATGTCTCACCGCAGAACGTAATTATTCGTCGCTACCGCTGTTGTCACCGTGTCATGTCGTCACCATCGTTACATTATTATTACGGTTGCTAATTACTACTACTACTATCAGTACTACAGCTATTAACTGCTACTACTAATTAATGTTACTAAACTAATCAACGTCATCGTCATTGTTGTTAATATTATTTTGTTTGTGTATGGCTATTATGATTTCTATTTTTGTTACTGTTATCGACTAATGATAAAAATAAAATATGGATGATCTCAATAGAGAAAACACATCGAAACGATGGCGAACATTTTGACACCTAAAGAAGCGGGAAAGTAATCGGAAACGGTAGAAATAGACAGTGAGTCAACGAACTTAACGTATTTGGTCGTGTTTTAAATTTCAGTTTGTTTTAGACTGCGGATGAGGATAGACGAAAAAGTACGAAGTATTTTTTGGTATATGTCCAATTGAAAATTGTACACACCGTAACTTGTTTCATGAGTGACTTCCACTGGAAAACATAATTCTATACTTCACGACGATTCTGTTTCTTTTTTCTATGTACGGCATAATATATTATAAAAGTGAATGTCTCTCTAAATCGAAGATTTGAAGACGTAATAGATGAGAGTCAGGCAAACAGCCACATGAAGGGCAGAAGAAATGATAAAAATAATACAAAATATATATTTCGTTATGTTCCGCTCAAGTGTATAGTTTAGTCAATTAATTGATTGTTTTAAAAAAACAGGAAGTTAAATATCTCAGAGGTGCCTAGTGATACTTTAGGTTTTTTATGTTTAATTAAAATTCGTACGTAAGTGTGATATTCAAAAAATGTAACTGCATAATTATTTATCTATACGTAACGTTTAAATCAACTTAAGTTTCATACAAGACATTAGAACTTCGTCTCAAATTATCTTAATTTATTGCATACACATGTATGACATATGTAAAATTAGCCTATCACAAGAAGAAAAAAATAGCGATATCCGCAATGTACAAAAAAGTAAACGTATATATTGCGATGCGTCTATAGACAAGTATCATTTTGTTGCTATTCTTCTATAAATGTATCGTGATCAACGATGACCATAGAAACTGTGACATCTGGTAAAAGTAAACATTAGTGACACTTTGTTTCTTAACTTTCTCTTTCCTTCTGCGCGTTTGTGGTATATCGTAGATTTGACTTAATATTGAGCGGAATGTAACGAAACTATTTCTCTGAGAAATTGTTTACATAAAACGTTAATCAATTTCATACATATCATCCGCCCATAATCACCTGCCACAAAATAAAAGTTTCGATAAAATAAAACTACTGGCAACACTGCCCCTATTGAAGCATATCGAAAGAACATGAAGGAAAGAAAAGAATGGAAAAATATTATATTCACATGGTATCATCAGTTTACATATTTTGCGTTAAAATATGAATACATTTAATTATCAAAACGTGCCAGGTTAAGACGGAGTTTATTGTAACATTCTGGTTTTATTGTAATATTTATCATTGTATTCTATTAATATTGCATTGTACACATCGATCACTATGTACAGAGAATATTCTGCCAATAAAGTGTTGAATGGTTACCAAAAAACACCAAACAAAGAGAATTAAAATTATATTTCATACAACAAAAACCTTTCAATTAGTTTATTATTTAGCGATTTTGATGTTAATATACAGAAATAAATGATATTCTTTTTCGTGATCAATGACTCACATGACCTTCATTTATAATTAATCTAGTGAGACAACGGAAATGAAATATCGCACAGTATGTTCTTGTGCAAATTACTGTATTCTCAAAACTTGTCATTGTTATGACAGACTTAAAAATCGATAACAAAGTTATGTGCACAAATCGCTATAAAAGATAAGTAATAAGTCATGATACTATATAATGCTAAGCAAAACATATGTTTCTATATTGAAAAGTTAACCTGAAGTTAATAGCGCGTATTAAGTGTAGAAAAATCTTAAATATGAGACTAAGTAGTTTCTGGTGTATCAAACTTTCATGATAATAAGTAGAAAGTAAAATGTTATGCATATTGGACAATAGCACCATAGACATATAATAGATTAATTACAAAATTAAAGGAACATTAATTATTGTATTATTTTAATTATCTTGTCATCTAAATTAAAAATATTATCGATATTGCATATAATAAACGGTTTACAAAAATTAAAAAATGCTATATAAAAATTTCTGGCAGTTAGCAATAAAAACAACATTTGCACTTGTTTACACCTAGTCAATTTTTACTGTTCAAGTGATATTCATAACGTACGGTGGTCGATGCTTCAATGATTAACCGGAAGACACAGAAACATTCGATCACCGTTTATATGAATTCATTCATATAGTTACATTCTTATCTTTAGTATGAATGTATAAAATTATTAATCCAAAAATTAATTTACTTTTTTGTTAATGACATCGTGACATATAAATGTACAAATGCGTAAACGACAGTGTGAAAGCAAATGTCTAATACTGTGTGTATTTTATATGACACATTTTTTTTTTTTTTTTTTTTT